AAAGAAATCAAGGCAGTCAGCAGCCCACGGCCACCTTCTATCATCCAGTCAGTTACCATCACCCCACATTTGTGCCAATTCTAGAAGAGATTAAATTTATGAATTTGTCACATGTCATCCCAGCCTTCCTGACCCATATTCCTCTCCATTTAGTACATGTAACAACAGTACAAAGGGGTGTTGTAACCTTAATTGCTTGCAAAGTGTTTTGAAATCCTTAGTTTGAAAGCTTGGGGGGAGGGGGAGGGCTGAGAGTATGGTTGGGTGGTAGAGTTCTTGCCTGGCATGCACAAGGTTCTATCCCCAGAAGTGGGAGGGAGGAAGGACTGGCCTGGGGAAGCAGGGAGAGCTCAAGTTTGCAGAAATTCAAAATATTTGCACTATACATTATGTACGTGTGCACACATACACACATATGCATGCCCAAGGAATTGTGTCCAGAGCAGATGGGGAGACTGAGGCATGGAGGCACCATAGGTTATAATGTTTAAGTTCCGGTTCATAAGAGTGCGGCCAGCCCTGACCCTTCCAGTTTCCAAGTTCCTCTGACATCTGGCCATTCCTCATGGCTTCAGATGTACCTTTCCATTTCATATCAGTTCCAAGTCACTGGCCCAATCGTACTAGTTTCAGTGGCATGGGTGGCTGCTGGGGACAGGAGATGGGGGGAGCTTCTTCCAGCCTCAGGGCTAGAAAGGACAGTTGTGTCACCTGTGACCTGCACCTCTTTGTGTAGGGCCAGGGCTGTTGAGGTAGGTCTTAGGACAGTTTTACTGTTTGGTTAAGTCTATGCTGTGAGCTGGGTACGGTGGTACACACCTATAATCTAAACCCTAGAGGTTAAAGCAGGAGGATCACCAGTGCATGGCAGTTTGAACTAGGCAGCACAATCTTATGTCAAAAAAAAAAGAAGTAAAGATATTTAAAAATACACTCCACGCCAGGTGCCAGTGGCTCACACCTGTAATTCTAACTACTCAGGAAGCTGAGATCTGAAGTTTGCAGTTCCAAACCAGTCTAGACAAGTAAGTCTGTGAGACTGATCTCTGATTAATTATGAAAAGGCTGGAAGTGGAGTTATGGCTCAAGTGGTAGAGTGGTGGCCTTGAGCAAAAAAGCTCAGAGACAGCACCTGAGTTTAAGCCCCAGGGCCAGCAAAAATAAAGTAAAATATAGTGTATGTGTGTGTATGTGTATGAATTTTCCCATGTACTCCATGGTGGTTCTAGGAAATGGCAGGAAAGGCCGGTGGAGTTCCTGGAGCACTGCTGTTGGCCTTCCCAGACCTCACCGGTGGATTCAGTGTATGAAATTCACTGGACTACATACTTACACGTGGGTTTTCCCTATATACTTTTGTTGCACTCTACAATGTATTTGAAAAACAAATCCATCAGGACACTGGCTTGCTTTGTTTAGATAAGATTCTGAATAGTGAAGCTATAGATGTAATTAAATCAAAAATCCTTTCTCTACCTTTGTGATTGAAATCAATTTTCTTCTTTGCATTTCCAGTTTTACTCATTGAACGAGTGGGGACTAGCTCCATTATTCACCGGCTCAAAGTAGGGGATGTTTCTCAACAGGTCCCAATACATCTTCAGAAACCTATGTGACCCTCCACAAAAATGACCAAGTTCTGTTGGAGACTTGGAACATTAAAATCTTTGGTCAAATTCTTCCAAATAGGACTAAAAGCCAGAGGAATTCTTCCAGCTCGAGGACACTTCCCTAAGCTCCCACCAACCTGGTTTCAACGAATCCAACGAATCCCACTCATCAAAGTGAATCTGAATTGACCAAAAAAAAAAGCAATCCAGAAAAGGCTGTCCTTAGTAGTCATGTCTACCTCCTGTCTCTCAGGAGGCTCAAAATTCTGGAGTCTGTTTGGGGGAACAGCAAAAGGCAAAGGCCGATTGCCTTCCAAGGAAACTCGTAACACCACTTTACGAAACCAGATTTATTAAAATTTCTCTAAAGTCAGCAACAGCCATCTCACTGGTCACACACATACAGAAAGGATCTAGTGTTTCTAGCGGTCCTGGCAGAAGTCCCTGCCAGCTCAGAGTCCTCAGTTGGATAATGTATCCACAGATACAAAAGTCAAGCAACCACAGGGCCTCCATGCGACAGAGGCCCAGCCTCCCTCCTCCAAGTCCCATGATTCCGTCAAGATAATATTGCCGACGATCGTTCACATTTCACGTGGTTCCAGACATGCAGGCTATTCAGACACAATACACACAGACGACACCACAAGCCTCAGTCACACAACAAAAACATTCAGACATCTGTATAAAAGGTAAAATAACTGTACAAAGTACACAGTACGTGAGGTATACACAGCATTCTCACAATGCATGTTAGTAGTTTGCCTTGGGATAGCCCTTGAAGAAACCTGCCTGGTTTTGTGCCATTTCTCAAAATACAGTATGTTTTCTCTACCCGCTTAACCATCTGATGCCAGCCCTGGGCCAGACAGCAACTGAGATAGGTTTTGTGTTTTGTTTTGCATCAGTACTTGTGTTTTTAAAGCAATTTGCAGTTTCTTCTGAGAAGTTTTACTTTTCGGGGGAGTGAATTTACCTCTGGAGACATTCAAGCAGAAGCTGAAAAGGAAATTTCTGCCCAGGTGGTGGCAGCAACAACAACAACAAAAAAGTGAGGATGGGATTTTTGACGTTTCTTCGGACTTAAATAAAACCGCAGCTCCTGTCACTCCGGCAACTGGCAAGGTGGATGCATTCACAAACCACACCGCATGTGAAATTCCAAAAACCCATCATGCAAAAAGCGGAAGCCCCAGGTAAAATGCCAGGGGCAGACCAGTATCTCGGGGGAGGGGTGGAGAGGGCTGTTCCTGGATCATTCGAGAAGTTAGTCTGAACATCCCTTAAGACTCCAAAATCCACTTTCATCCAAATACAAAGATGTTTAACATTTGCTCCTATGAGAGCCAGGCTAGGGAGTTGGCTTATCTTTCTCCTTCTGGACAAAATGTTCCACCCTGAGATATTCTTGGGGAAAAGAAGTAAAGGATAAAATGGTAGCATACTGGAGAAGAACCTAAAAAAGCAACTGTTTTCAAGTGATCAAATTATGTTAAAACCAAAACAAATGAAAACTTCAGTCTCTGTGCTTAGAGTTCTGAGATAGCTCCATGTGAATCTTTTCCATGGTGAGCTGAGGAGGGGAGGGGTCAAGTTTTCAAGGTCAGAAGAAAGGCATTATTGCATATGAGGTCTTGGCAGAATCTGGAGAAGAGTCTGAGTATGGGGTTCAGGGTTCAGGCAGGCTCTTAAGCTCTTAACAGAGCAGTCATTGGAGCAATAATGAGTGTTAGAGCAACCCCCCCCCCAAAACAAAAGAACTCCTGATCAGAGAAACTATGGTAGCCAAGTCCAGCTACCAAAGACAAGTTCAAAGATGGCAGCAGGTTAATTGACCCAAATTATTTGTCATCCTGTTAAAAATGGGGTTACTGCCACCTCCCCCCCGAAAAAAATTCCATGATTTACTTCCTTTCCCATTCAAATGTTTGCACTCCGAACACTTGACCACTGGTGCAGGATGCTCTTCATACAGAGATCCAGCATCCTCAAGTCCGCCAGAGCAGCCAGTGGTGGTTCTGTACAAAGAGCCAGTTTCCAGGGCAGCAGATCTGTTCCCATTACTCAAGTTACTCGTCCCAAACAGCAACAAGGGGAGCCACATTGAGTTCTACGGTGACAATCTCAGTGCAGTCCCCAAGATGGTGGTGGCACCACCATGCCAGAGGGGCTGTCCATCTTCAGCAATGGAAATGCCATGTGTGAGAATTGAGGTTTCTGAGGTTTGCTGGGAGGGAGGATCAACAGAAGAAGGAACTAATGTCACTGTCCTCCTGGTACTCTGGGACAATCTGGTCTGAAATTCCTATCTCTGAGTCAATGTACCCTTGTTCCAAGACAGACTGGAACCAGGGATGGAGCAGGATTTCAGGGGCGGTAAGTCTCTCGGAGGGCTCTCTTCTCAGGAGGCTGCGGATGAGGCACCTGGCTTTGGGGGAAATGTGCTCAGGAATGCAGAACTGTCCACGTCGAATTTTGGAGAAAAGAGCACTAGGGTCTGAGTCATGGAAGGGATATCGTCCCACCAAAAGGGTATAGAGCATCACCCCTAGACTCCAAACGTCCGCTGCCTTTCCAGAGTAAGTCCCCGTGGTATTAAGGATCTCGGGGCTCACATAGGCTGGGCAGCCATGCTTATCGGACAAAGCATCATCTTCACCCTTGATGATATGTGTGTCTTCCAGACTTTCCAGTCTGAGCTGGGTTCTGTGGGAGAGAAGAACCAAGTGATTACTCCCAAGTCAGCTGCTATGAAATACCACGGCCTGCCCAGTAACAGTGCCCACAAGCACAAAAACAAAGGCCCCAGGAAATGTCATTGACCCTCTTCATCCAGAAAGCACTGGGCCTGTAAGCACCCTGAACTGGAGTTTTTACAAACCAACACAAACTGCAATCAATGTTTGAAAAGCACCTGAGACAGTGCCTGGGGGTGGGGAGGTATGATACAAAGTCCCAAATAGCATTCGTGATGCTAGAACTTGTGAGAGATACCCTAATAGGGCTTACACAATTGACAAAGTTCACATTGCAGAACTGAGAGACTGTCTTGGGAATGCTGACATTTTCAACTTGAGTTACCGGGGAAGAGCAGACGACCCTCCTTCCACAGGGAGAGCCCGCGTGGCCCACAAGCCCATCACCTCTCCCATCATGACCAATGACGACGGCTAGAGTTACTTGAACCCCCCATTCTGCATTAAAGAACTTGACCCCAATTTCACTGTTATAACACACAGCTTGCTAGAGCATAATATATTTCTCTCTATATATACACACACAATACATATACTATGTTTATGTAGATATAATAAACTATCCACCCAAGCCCCAGATGTTGATAACCAAGGCAAGAAGTTGAAAAGGATGCTCATTACATGTACTGAGGATTTAAAATGCAAAGAAACCTTAGCCTGAGCAGAGAAATGATGTGAACAAATGAATGTGGCTGATGGATTTAAGGGACACAGGTCCCCTAAAAATGAACACCTACACTGGCACACCCAACATCTAGGCTGGCAAATCAGTGCATACACGTATTTATTTTCTCTGTGGGTTTCTGTTCAGGTAAGCAGTCTGGATAAAGCTTTGGTCACAGGCTGTCTTGTCAAGTTCCTGGTGCTTCCTTATTTAGAACCAGCCATCCAAGTGTCCTGGGTTCCCCCAAAGGCCAAAGGGAATGCCTAATGTCCAATGGGTGGGGGCTGCCTTTCTCTGCCCCTGGGAAACAGTTCAGTTCCTTCCTGTAAGTCATCTGTTGTGAAGTTAAATGCAAACACTCGGAACTGGCTGATGGATCAATTCATTTTCCTCTCAAAGGTCTGGCGTGTGGTTTTTTTTTGGTGTTTTTTTCCCCCTTCTGCCTTCCTGTTCCCTGGAGTGTAGTATACATGTGCTAACTTTGGTATGTCCTCAGCGTGACCTCCTGGTCGTTATGTAAAATACCCATTGGTTCTGTAAACGGAAAATATGACTCAACCGGCACTGTCGGCCCCTGATTGGCTGCTAGAGTACTAAAACCCTGCACCTGTGCTGGTTACCCGAATAGCGTCAGCCTGCCATTGCTTAACCCCCGGGTTGCCAAATCTGTGCCCATGACATTGGCCTGTGCAATGCAGATTTCAAAAGCTGGTAAGGAGGTGTGTAAAGGCATGTTTCAGAAAAATGCATACCAGTACTGAAGCAGCAGGTTCCAGGAATTGGCTACTTCATTTCAAACTGTTTGCTTTTATGAGCTAATCAGTATGTTTCAATACTTTGTTTTGCAAGGTCAGATACAAAGTCATACTTGAAGGCAATTCAACTCTACACTTTTCAGTGTGTTCTGGAGTTTTAAAGGGGGGGAATATACAAATAGGACTAGCCTTATGTGACTCCTCTGGGCTCCACAATTCTACAGGATTAATATTGCTCCTCATCTTTCCACAAGAGATGTGGGTCCGCCTCTCCTGACTGGTCTCTCTTATTCAGCTTCCTGAATTGCCTTGTCTGAAACTTCCACTTCAAATCTCAGGTCTCATTCATTCTCTTATCAAGCTCATCTTGTCCTTTATGAGGTAAGCCAAGATCTATATTTAGCAGCCCATTCTACCCAACTTCCATTTACTATTCCATGAGGCTATTTTCTGAAAATGCACCAAATGAGGTGTGTAAAACAAAACAAAAAAAGTAGCAAAAGCTGAGCAGTGGTGGCTCACACCTGTAATCCTAGCTATTCAGAAGGCTGAGACCTGAGGATCAAGGCTCAAAGCCAGTCTTGGGCAGGAAAATCTGTGAGGCTCTTATCTCCAATAAACCACTCGAAAGCCAGAAGTGGAGCTGTAGCTCCAGTGGTAGAGTGCTAGCACTGAACAAAGAAACTCACGAACAGCATGTAGGCCTTGAGTGCAAGCCCAGAACTGGGGCACGCATGCACACATGCATGCGTGGGGACATACCTGCACACACAACATCCCCAGATAATATGAAGGAAAATACAAGGGACCTGGCTTGAAATGGAACAGGGATGTAGCATGAGGGAGGTGGCTGGAATTCAGCAAACACCACGGGCTAGCTAGTTCCACCATACCCTCCAAAGTATGGAGAAAAAAACCTGGTGTAGGTAAGGAACTGACAACTCATTAACAGCAACGAACGGCAGGTGAACACCCAACCCTCAGAAGACTGGTATTTCTGACAAGGAGGGGAAATATGAAGTGAGGAGAGCATCTAATCGACACCTGACATCTATAGAGAAGCCCACGATCCCTCGGCGCCATCCAGACAGGCTGTCACTTTTCAGGATTGCTAAAAACACTATCTAAGAACAACTGAACCCTTGGGGTTTGCGTGGCACCTAACTACACAACCTGTACCTTCATTTTTTGGTTCCAAAAGGCCACAGGAGGAGCTGTGGCTGCCGCTCACCTCTCCTCCGTGGAGAAGACGAATTTTCTAAGCTTCAGATCCCCCAGCACGATGGCAGACTGGTGGCAGTGGGCCACGGCCGAAACGATCTGCCTAAAGAGCCGGGCGGCCTCCTCTTCCCTGAGCCTCTTCCGGGTCCGCACATACGAGTGCATGTCCCCAAAGTCCTTCTCAAAGAACACGTAGGCCTTCGTGTCCCCGAGGATCACTTCCACGATGCCAGTAATGTTTCTGTGAGAGGGCAGCTGGATGTAAGGCCGGATTTTGTCCTGGTAGTGTTTAATGGGAAACACCTGCAGAGAGACAGTGGGTCATTTTGGGGATGGATTAAAAACAGAAACAATCGCAGAGACTGCTTCCCCAAAACCCTTTTGGAAGTAAGCTGTAGTTGTCAAGTTTGGGGCTTTGGATGACCATAAACCCTATTCATTTATTCCCTTCTCTCTTCCTCCCCCCCCACCCTCCCCCCCTCCCCCCAGCTTCACACTCCTGGAGACTAAGCCCCAGCTCTCTGGCTCAGGTCATTCCTTGTGACAGATAATGCATTTGTGGTCAAGACTGAAAAGCAGTCTCTGGCATCCATGTGCCTTCTGCAGACCCAAAGGGTTCAGCCCAGAAAGGATGAAGAATGCGGTGACTGTGTGGCCACCAAGAGGAAGCAAGGCCACAAACATGCAGAGCTGTCATTAGTCAGAAGGAAAGGAAGAGATGACTTGGAAGGAGACTGTGACATCGCAGCCTTAAGCAACAAGCCTACAGTTGTGTGACTCAGGTGTAAGCAGCCAGGCCAAGGTTACATTCTCACACCAGGGGATGGGCTCCTTGTCAATGGTCTTTTTTCTTTTTCTTTTTTCCATTTGTTTGCTTATTCCCCTGCCCCCTCCTCAGCCCAGCCCAGCTGCACCACAGGTCCTCTAAGAAGCTGGCTGGCCTCTTTTAAGGGCCTTTTGTTCGGTCTGATTACTCATATCCTAGACTCAACTGGAAACGGTGACACACGGGCTGTCACCATCTGGATTCAGCTATTATCTGCTCGGAGGAACTGGAAGGGGTTGCACAATGGCCAGACCCACCCCACCTCTGAGGTGGATGGTCTGCCATCAACCGGAAAAAGTCTCGTCCAGTTCTCTTCCACCCTCCTCCCCACCCACCGCGATGATGATTCAAAAAAAAGCGTGTCCCGCGTTGTTTTCACTTGTCGTGGTAAAAAAAAAAAAAAGTAAATAAATACAGAACTATTTATTTCGCCTTCAAACTGGTCTTGATCGCGCGTTGGAAATTTCGTGAAAGTGGACAGTAGGTGGCAGCAACAAGCTGGGGGGGGGTGATTGGAGTCGGGGTGGGGGGGGTCAGGTGAGCGGCAGGAAACCCAGGAGCAACTTAAACCTGGAGGTGGGGAGCGGATGAAAAACAAAAAGCACACACACAGGCTGAGCAGGGGGTTCCGGGGCGTGCCGCGGGGCGGGTGCGCGGCTCCCCTAGAGCCACTCCGCGGGCGGCAGGAGCGCCCCACGGAGCCTTCTCGCGGGGTGGGAACGCTTACGTATCGCTCAATGGAAATCGCTGGCTGGGAACAAATAAAGTGAATGGAAAGCGTGCGTTCTGGGCTCGGGTGAGCTTTCCGACACTTCTGCTCCGGCCCAGAGCCGCTGTCCCGGGAGGAAGAGCGCCCCCCGTGTCGTCCCCCGACCCCCCGCCCGGCTCCGTGGGTCTCCGCGGGGCTTCAAGGCCGAGCCGGTGGCACCGCGGCGCCCGGCGCTCCGGCGGAGCTGCCAGCTGCTCCCAGCCCCGCGGCGGCGCCCACTGCAGGGCGTCCTCCTCCCCCACCCCACCCCAGGACGGGGAGGGGGGGTAGGCGGGGGGGGGAGGAGAGGAGGGCGATGGCATGGCCCTGGAATCCGCTGCAACTCCACCGCTTCTAGGGAACGCCACGCGCCGGCCGCGCCAAGCGCCCGGGCAAGGAAGGTGGAGAGCAAGCGCTGGACCCCGCACGGTCCTCGAGCCCCCCCCCAGCCACTCGCGGGAAACCCCTGGATCTCCAAAAAGCAGAACCTTCACTCGGCCCAAACCCAGCCGCCGCGATCGGACCCGGGTCCCCCAACCCCGGGCGCCCCGACGGGTGCCGGTCCCAGGGACACCCACCTTGCAGCGCAGTTCGCGGCCGGTGTGGATGCACAGAGCCCGGGACACATGCTCGCGCTCGGCCAGGGGCAGCAGCAGGTAGTCGGCGATGCGGCTGGGCCCGGGTACGCCGCCGCCGCCGCCGCCGGCCCCCGGGGCGGCGGGCAGGGGCTGCGGGCTGCAGGGAGAGCCGGGGGGGCTGAGGTAGTCTGCGGGGCTCGAACAGTCGGAGGAGAGGCGCGGGCACTTGGCGGCCACGGCGGTCGCGTCGTCCGCGTCCAGCAAGCGTTTGGCCGGGGCGCCCCGGGCGGCCGGGAACAGCAGAGCCGGACCTCGGGGCTGCGGGACGCCGCTCACGGCGGAGCGCACAGGACCGACCCGCATCGCGACCCCGACCCGGGCGGCCCCGGCTGGGTAGAGCCCCGGATCCGCACCAGAAGGTCCCGGGGGCTTCCAGACGGCGGGATGGAGTTAGCAGCGCCGGCTGGGGCTCGGCGACGCGGGAGCCTCGGGTCGGAGCCGGGGTTGCAGGCGCGCAGCGCGGGTCGCGCTTCCAGGTTCGCCGGCGGCGGGTGAGGAGCCCCGCGGGCGCTCGCTGGGGAGCCTCGCGGAGGACGCGGAGCGGCGGCCGAGGCTGCGGACCGTGGCGGAGGCGGCGGCGGCCGCGTTGCCCGGGGTGGCCCTGAGCCCCGAGGCCCCCGAGCGGATGCGCTTCCCAAAGCGATGAAGTCTGGGAGCCAAAGCCCGAGCAACTTTTCGGGCGGCGCTGGGATCCGGCGCGCTCCCGAGCTGCCGGCGTGAGAGCGGGCGGGCGCGAGGGGCCGAGTGTGAGAGCCGGTGTGCGCCGCACTGATCCCGGCCGTGCACTCCTCCTTCTCCTTTTCCTCCACCTCCTCCGCCTCCCGGTGACTCACGCTGTATACACACACACACACACTCACACACACTCACAGGCTGGGCTGTGTAAACAGTTGGGAAGCCGGGTTGTGCAATGAGGTGGCTGCGACGACTCCGGCCGCGCCGCCCGGCTCGCAGGCACCGAAGCGCAGGGAGGAGACTGAGGGGCGGGAGGGGGGGGGGGAGGACAAGGGAGGGGAGGGGCCGGGTGGCCCGAGGCCTGGGGATGCTCCGGGCTGCGCGCTCACGGGCGCAGGTGGTGCGTCCCGGGCCGCCTCGGGCACGCGCACGCCCTCCCCGCTGGGGGGGGGGGGGGGTCCAGGCTGGGCGGCAGGCGGCGCGCGCTCCCCTGCCAGCCCCGCATGGTGCGCGTTGCAAACCTAAGGAACCGGGCGGGGGGGGGGGGGGGGGGGGAGTTCCCGTGACGTCAGGGTCCCCGGGATGGGGGCGGGAGGGGCGGGGCCTAGGGGGACGAAGCGACTGCTGATTGGCTCGCACGCCTCATTCACGGCCACACAATGGACCGCGGGCGCGCGCACCTGGGCGCTTAGCCGGCGCCGCTGCTGCAGCCTCGCGGTTATACCTTCTGCCCCCCGGGGGAAGGGGAGGGGGAAAAGGGGGGGAAGGAGGATTTCCCCCACTCCCGCTTTTGGGGAGCCCCTGGTTAAAGCTGTGAGCACCACGGAAGTGCGCCTGCAGCCCTGGAAGGGAGGGAGAGGGAAGGTGATGCATTCCAGAAGCCGTCATTCGTTCCCCCCACGCGGCAGTTCCGGGGAAGACCGGAGCGTGGTAGTGAGCGTGGTTTTTATTCTTCCCCCTTTCCTTACCCCCCCCCAGCCCGAATCCCCGGCGTCTGCTCGCTGCCGCAAATAGAACCTTCTGTTGGGTGAAACGAAAGCAAACACGGGCCTTCTGCGCGCCTCCACCTCCGCGCCCCTCCCGCGCGCCGCCCGCCCCGAGCGCACGGAAATAGCTCCTCCGGGCTCCCGGGCCGCCCCCCGCGCGGACTCGCGGAGCTTCCTGCGCCCCAGCCGCCGGGAAACAAAGGCGGCGGGAGCGGGCGCCCACGTGGCCGCCCGCGCATTCCGGCCCCCGCCCGGGCCTCCGCACGCGCCGCGGGGCCCGGCCACCGCGCCCGCCCGGTGCCAGCCTGGATTCCGGGGGAAGCGGTTGAGAGGCACTCTGGGCACCGCCGGGCAGGGCACTTCATGCAGTATGATTATCTGGAGAGCACAGAATGATACCAGATCTTGTGCAAAAACTCCGTGCAACCGCCTTGGAATCGGTCCGGTTGTGTCCTTTATGTTTCTTGAGAGAACCAGATCGGTGTGGAGTCCCTGGACTCTTAGCAAAGGTAACGTTGTTATGGAAGTCCTTCCTCTCTACTGCTGCTGAGCAATTTTCTATTACCAAGTCAAGTTCCCCAAGTAAGTCGTTTCTACGTTGATTACCCAGTCAACAAATGCTAATTAAGCATCTACTAAGGCCTAGGTTATAGGGATTCAAGTCGGAAATGGAACCCGGCACTGGGTGGCTCACACCTGGAAATCGTAAACTGGTGAGATCTGAGAATTGAAGTTCAAAGCCAACCCTGGACAGAAAATTCTGTGAGTCTCTTATCTCCAGTTCACCACAAAGCTGGGAGTGGAGGAGCTGTGGCTCAAGCGGTAGAGTGCCAGCCTTGAACAAGAAAAAGCACACACTGGGGCTGGGAAGGTGGCTCTGTGGTAGAGCGCTTGCCTTGCATGCCTGAGGCCCTGGGTTCGATTCCCCAGCACCACATAAGCAAGAAGAAAAAAGCCGGAAGTGGCGCTGTGGCTCAAGTGGAAGAGCGCTAGCCTTGAGCTGAAGAGCTGAGGGACAGCGCCCCAGGCCCAGAGTTCAGGCCCCACGACCGGACCCAAAAAAAAAAAGAAAAGAAAAAGCACACACACACACAGGTAGAAATGAAATCAGTAATAATATGATGGGCATGGCCCCGTTCTTCTTAAATGATTAAATTTCTTGCTGTGGTTCACTAGCTGGCACATGGGCACA